AATATGAATTTCAAGACCCCGTCGAATCGAATCTCGCCGCCGAATCGAATCACGAATCGACGCTATTGGCTAATCCAGTTTTGAGTGGATTTGATTGATTGGCTCTTGCAGAAAGGACAAGTATACTCAACCAATCAAAACTCCAGCGTGATTCAATATTGATTCGACAAACCATGCGAATTTTGGAAGTTTGTAGCGAATTCACAATATATACTAGTATGTATTCATGAAAAATGAATATTCGGTACTCGACGTTGTCGTCATCATCCTGCTCGACGGTCTCGGCGGCGAACATGGTGGGCAGCCCCGCTATCAGCTCGTTGATCCCGTGCGGCGTACGGAAAGAAGATCGCCTAGTTTGTCGTTTTGTAGATTTATGCAGCTATTTTTAGAAAATCTACAAATTTCCAAAGTGTGCAAGCTTCGAAGTTCGATTCGAAGTTTTAGTCTGGAAAGTCAAGATTTCGCACTTGCTAGTAACGTTACAAGTAAGCCCATATGCATTGATAACGATAACATTAATAAATACTAAGTTAGTAGGTTGATTGACAGCTGCAATTGTCTACTGTGGTGGCGAGGTTTCGTTGTCAAGGCATATCGGTCATGATAATGTGGCCCAGCCCCAGCGGCAACGGAATGTGGGTCGTTCCGCACAAACTGCCATCATGGCTGTAGACCACTTGGCCGGCCAATTTCACGGCAATGGTCAAGGGCGCAGACTCAAACGCGCTCTTGATCACGCCATTCCCGAGAAAATGGATGGGTTTGCCGCGCTTGGGGTTGGCGGGGGGTCACGCTAAGGTTGCTGAACGCCACCGACATCTCCGCATTGCGAAATCTCCACCGCAGAGCCCACATCGACCACGGTCGTCACAGTTTCGTCCGCAGGGGGCGGTGCGCCGGCGGATATGATCGACGTCGTGGGGTAGCTGGGTACCATGGCCACTCCGCACTGCCCTAATTCGACGCCAATGTCACGGGCCAATGAACCCGGCGGCGCCCCACTCTTCGCCCCACGAGTTCTTGACCTTCCAATACTTGTCGCCATCCTTCGTGCCGTAGCCCACGACCAGCACGCCGTGGTCCAACTTGGTCCCGCAACTCCTGTGGAACACGCCCGACTTGTAAAACTGAAACTCGGGCTGGTCAGCTTCGATCGCCACGGACACGGCCTGCCGTGCCACCGCCGCCTTGAGCTCGTCTTCGTCGTTCGGCGTCACGTCCGTGTACGACATGACCTTGGTGACGGCCGTGCACTTGGACTTCACGCACGTCGACGCGTTCGCGTGAGACGTATAGTCTTGCTCCTTGCATAGCAAATAAATCAAATATTAAAATGCCACCAACTGGAGCAAACTACTGTGCCCTTAATGACGAAAGTTTGAACCAAGTTGGAATTACTAATTGTTGTACAGACAAAGGCCAGTTCAAATTGGACTACGCAGTCGAAATCAATGATTTTGATTAGTGCCTTAAAATCCACTTCTCAAATGCTGCTGATGACAGAATCCATGATGTCGCGGAGGTTCACAACAGCGACTTGGTTCACTCCGGGAGGAAGCGGTTGATTTGGGGGGATGGACAAGATGCGGCGCATGTTGAATTCGATGTTGATAGCACGTGGATCCGGTCTGATGCTTTGTTGAAAACCGCGTGTTGGCACGTCGGGAAGTACCCCAGGTGTGACGATGTCGTAGAAACGGTATTCAAACCGCGTCGCATCGGCACTGACTTTGAGCAGCAAGATGTACTCAATCCCAGCATAACCGCACCACCACGTGGCAGCAGCGATCAGTTGGGGCCAAGTTTGAGACAGGCCAACTTCCACCACCAGAGTCAACCAATCAGCAATCGTACGACCTTGCGGTGGCGCGTTTCGATGTGGCGTGGTTCGTCGTGGCCCAAAACTCGCGTCGGCCTCTTTGTCTGG